GGTCCGTGAGCGACTTGTGTCTGAGAAAGACCTCTTCTGTCCTCCCACGAGACACATCTGAATCCTCCCTGACCTCAGATGCCACCTCATCTCCATCTCCATCTCCTTGCAGGTGCTCTGAAACCTTGCTGGCACTGTCACTTGTCTCTGTCCGGCTCTCACAGTCCAGCACCTCTTCCTCCTGCTTCGGCAGCTGCTGATGTCTGTCCGGGGATCCAGGAACAGGGGCCCCAGTTTTTTGGCATGCTGACTGTATTTCTAAGCTTGACTTTGGTCTTCTGTCGTATCAGTGACAGAACAGGTGGCGGCAGTAGCAAAGCGTTGTTAGTTTTCTTGAAGGGAGCCTGGAACAGGAAGAAGAAAGGAAATGCCAGTACCAAATACCACAGTACTTTGCTGAGTTTGTACTTATTTGAAACTCTGAAAAGAACTTTGCCTCCTTCTGGATCTGTCACAAAGCCATCACCTCTGACGCTGGATTTATTGCAAGCTGCTTGCAGTAAACAATGTGTTCAAATGGCAGGAAGCCACCTGGTAAACAGAGATGGTTTTCTGTAGGAGGAGAGTTTTTGTGCTGGTTCAGTGTTCGCAGTGTTTGGATGGAGGTAGGGCATTTACCAGAAACAAGCTGAAGCATTGGATTAATATAGATGCAGTCTGAGGTGTCCTATGATGATGAAAACCTAATTTGTAAGAACCTTTTGGACACTGAAGTACATTTTTGCTTTTTGTTTGTAAATTGTTGTTAAAATCTTTATGTTAAAAACATGAGTCATAGTAGAGTGGAATCCTAAAGAAAATAGAAATACTAAAGTAAACTACAAACACTTCAACAGTGTGCTCTCTTCTCTCTGCTGCTGTCATCGTTGCCTAGAGACCACCACTGAGAGGATGAGGAAGAGTTTCTTCCCTCAGGCCATCCGTTTGCTCAGCTCTGAGCTTTAAACCGGACTGTGCAACACACACTGGCACCGTCTACACATGCACCTCATGCAGCATAACAGAGTTCCATTGATTTGATT